AGTAAATACGGAAAAAATAATGTTTTGATAATACATGTATTACCTATAAAATTTTCTCGCGTTCTAATATGGCAACAGAGTTTTTAAGTAGCCCACACTAGGTTTTTAAAGTGGCATAGACCCTGATAATGTTCGCGCGCCTTTTTGGAAACTATTTCGTGTGATTTGCTTGTTGATTTTAAAATAACAATAGTATTTACGCAACAATTTTGAGAAACGGAATTTTAATCAACAGTTTCATTTGTCACGAAAGGAGAGTAGCGGAGCGAGTGCTTAATAAACCAGTGACTGAAGAAGTTTCAACTTGTTGCATACTACTACATGCAAAACAATACGAATGCGTTCACTTTGTGGCGTGTGACGTGGCTTTCCAAATTTGCAAGCGTCAAAATACTGCCCGTGGCTAAAATGTGTCTAAAGTATCAGCAATATTGCGAAAGTAATCTAAAAGTGACACTTACTGCAAGCTTGATCAGTGTATATGTGGTATTTTAGAATAGTTAGTATCAAGTGAGTGTTTTTAAAGACTTTTCTGGCGAGGTAGCTGCTTTTACAATTTAGAAAGTTGTCAATAACATTCCCCATTATCAATTTGACATTACCGCAAATCAAAACATAAATCGAGAGAGGGAAAAGAAGGAATTATCAGCCAAAAACTTTATTTATGTGATTAGTAACAGACAAAAAATATTTTCCGTCCTGATATTCGAGTCGTTTTGAAAAAAGCAATTACAAAAATATCTATTACGCTACTTACCCATAATCACGCAATCACGAAGTTAGCAATAGATTAGTACTTTTCAGTTGTTCTATTCTATTCCATTGTAAATTATTCCTTCATTTTGAGTATTCGGTTCGATTTGAACTACCGAGGTAATAACTTAACGACATGCGGTATCTTAGGGTATCGATGGTGCCGCGAATTTGCTTTGCGACTTGAGTGTTCACTAATTGTTTTTTTTTTATTTGAACGAAAAGTAAATAGAAATGATGTCTAGTGCAAAGAAATGAAAAGTAGATGGAAAGGTCGCTTATTTTGCACAATGCGGTATGCCTATTTGTTTGCTGCGTAATATATGCATTACTTAACTATACTACACTCACTGACATAACAAAGAAGAAAATACAACATTCAGAAAGCTGTTTCATAAACAAAGAACACAACATGATAACGTTGTGAAAGTTAGTTTTATAGCTAGTTCAAAATTGGTAAAGTAATTAAACCCGTTGCCGAAGGAGAATTTATCAAATAGTGAATGTTAGTAGTTTGCACTGTATAATGAAACGAAAAATGAATTCCGGCGATAAAAATGATCGCTAATATAAAAACAACGTTGACTGACCGTAAGGTTGAATTTTAATACTTTTACTTTTGAACATAACGATTAGTCTGAGCAGCTCAATTGGCTATATTTATTCGAGCTGCCGATAAAGAGTTGACTGCTATTGAGCATTTGCCTAATTTACAGCAGCCAATTTACAATTTACACAGATGGTGCACCTTACGTTAAGATTTCATGGGAATTTTGAATGAAAACAAGTGAATTAAATGTGCAAAAAGATGATTTTGGTCATTATTTATTTCATTATTCAATCATTTTTATTCTATTCTAAGGACTTAATCGGTTCATTTTATAATATGACGATGTAACCTATTATTGCAAAATTCAGGTGGTCAATAAAAGGAAAAATGCCGATACGGTTTTAGGGGCTTAGAAATGAGATGGCGGATTTTATACAAATATAAGATAAACCACTATCTGAATTGGGTTGCATTATGTGAATGATATTAATTTGAAACAATTTAAAACAAGGACAGTTAGTAAATAATTTTGTGCAGCCACTTGAAAGAGTATCAGAACAGTTGTGGAAGGCACAGATGCTGCGTGGTAACAGTTACTATTTCACTAGGTATGAAAATGTTTCTTATGCTCAACATGCTGAAGAACTCATATTACTGTAGGAACTATTTTCCAATTTATTTGCTATTACAACAAAAAATAATGCACAATAGAAAGAGAGAAAGAAAACCCACTCTTAAAATCTAAATTTGAAGACGTGTACACTTTTGCGATTTCTGCTAAAAATCCTTCGCAGATTATAAAATTCGCAAGAAGATTGATTTGTTCTTGTGGTAGTACTTAGAATTGCGAACAGTTCTTGTCATTGATGCAAGTCAATGAATCAAAACATCGTACAAGGTTGACTGACGGATAATTTTGGAAATTTCTTTACGTCTTTATATAGTGCAATTAAACCACACATCGATGGATTAGTTTCCCAAATTTAAGGTTAAGTATCTCATTGATTTCGGTGTAGCTATTTAACTTTTACAGTTGTAATAATTCGTTTTCACAATTTAGGTATAATTTTGTGCCTAAAGGTTGCCTATACCTGCCTTAACTGAACGTGCAGAATTATTAAAAAATATTTACGTTGGTGTGAATGCACCCATTTCATTACCAACCTTATAATATTGTGAAGACTACTGCTTAAGAGCAGATACTGATGTATTAAAATAAACAATTATACTTACAAAGCATTTACGTTTCAATTACTCTATTATTAAACTCTTCGTCCAATCTTTGCTCCGTCATAAAGGAATTATGAGGGGCAGCATATGAGCTAAATGGTCAAAACGCTATATTATAAGAAAAAAAAAATTTTTAATTGTCTTTACTATGTTGAGAAACAGTTAAGAGCCCCTTGGAGTGTAAGTTTAAATTATGTATATCACTTTTTTAAAAAATTTTATGGTACAAGAAAGGCGGTGTCTCATACTTAATAACTTTGTAGAAAAAGGTTACGGCATGGAGCCTATATCTGTCAAATATACCAATCCAAACAGACTTTTTTAAATAAGGTGTTATATGGTCTCTGCGACTTACTTCATATACTTGTCTTAGACATGAGTTCTGCACTTTCTGACTGCGATATTTTACAACAGTATCAAGACATGGCATGTATACATATACTAATACAATGATTTAGTTATGATAGCACCAGAGTATCAGACAGTTTTTTTTATATCGCGAAACAAACAATGACGTTGACTGTAGATTAATTTTAAAATACTACTATTCTGAGCTTACTGGTCAGATGTTCCCGCAATTTTAGTGTTGAGTCTAGAATTAAGCTCAGACCCAGACTCGAATGGTAAGGTAAGGTCATTGTTAGGTCAATTTTGATTTCAATATTCCTTCGTACATGATTAATCTGCTGGTCGTTACCAAAAAGCATAGCCCATGATTTATTTGGATTTAATTTTAAGAGATGATCCTTAGCTATACCAAAAAACTTGTTCAAGTCATAATTAATCCTCTCCTCTGTTATCTGCAGATCTGCATCGTTAAACGAATGATAAAGATAGGTGTCATCAGAGTAAAGGTCATATTTACAGTATTTTCAACAGAATATTTCCCTGTTGGTGTATCTGCACCGAAATTGAGCGGCATTGCAATAGATGTAGATGAACAAGTAAATTGGGACCGAATTTTGTCGATATCGCTAGCCACTTTTTAATTAACCTCTATTACGTTCAGCGATGGAAAGGGAAATGAGTTAAATTCTGTCATTGCGACGTTTTCCTGTCAAAAGTGTGGATTTTTTTATCGTGAAATGGTGATTGTCGATTGTCGTTTCGTCTCTCGTTTATTTTGTTTAGGAGAGAAAGAAAGAACTTATTTTCTACAATTCAATTCAATTCAAAAATTGCAATTTATTGGTGCCCTCAGTTCAAGCATTTAAAGAAATATATATATATATATATATATATATATATATATATATATATATATATATATATATATATATATATATATATATATATATACATATATATATATATATATATATATATATATATATATATATATATATATATATATATATATATATATATATATATTTAAAGTTAAAATATATTTAATTTAGTGTACTGGCAGTTGTAATTGCTGTAATTATAAATCTCATTAAGCTTCATATAAAATTACAAATATAACATAATTACTTTAAAATCTTACAATTTGAACATTCTCAGAGATTTTTCCAATTTAGGTAGTTATTGTTTTACGCCTTTGGAGCTGACATTGAAATGTGGGTGCAATCTATAAATCTGTGTTTTATAAAGTTAACTTGTTGTCTGGTTACAAGAAAAACAACTCATTCAGGGCATAAATATTGTACGATTAAGCCTGTTACTTGTGCAGTTTTGGACACAGTCGGCCGGCTTGTAGAAAACTGAAAATTACTTCCTAAACAACGTTGATACTCTCCGGATGCATAAAATTCAAAGGTTATCAAAACTCTTTTAGATGGTTCTAAGAGAAGATGGATCACCATCCAACTATTCAATAGTTCTATACTTCCTAAAATCAGTATTTAAAAATAATGCTACAAAATAATTAAAAATTATTATTCAATATGATTAACCTGTGAATCAAAAAATTAAACTAAATAATCGCAAACAGTCCACCACACAAAAAAATAAATGTAAACTCGCCGGAGATAAATACAAATATTATTTATGCAAATAATGTTAACGTAGTATAATGACCTCAATGATAAAAAATACGTAAGGCTGTGGGTATGATAAGATTTTTTTGGTTTTGATGTTTCCAAAAAGACAGAGAACGAACGATCTAATTCACTTATTTACCACTCTAGCGACACCACTTTATAAATCGAAATGATTCGAGGGATTTAAGGCGATCAATTGTATCATTTTCGTGGAATTTGGAGAACAAAATGCTTTTGGAAATAATATCTATTCATAGCTAGTAATGTTATTACACTTTTCTGAAATGGCCTATGGTTCGGCGATAATCCCATACCTCTTACGGAAGTTTGTACGTAAGAATGACGGATAATTTCGACAATCCGGCAACCTCGCTTGCGCTTCCCTTCGTTTAAAACTGTCCGCCTTCCCTTCCACCCTTCGCCACTACACTTCGGAAACAGTCGCTCAGAACTTTGGTCCACTCGCAGCTAGTTAGCTTTGCAGCAGCCGCAGGAGCGCAAGGTTTAGGCGTGGAGAGCTTTTCGGGCAGGATTCTCAGACGTAGCGTCAGTTTGACCGAGGGAGTGTTAGCGTCGGGACGCCCGGCGTCGTCATATCGAGTCGCGTGGTCTGCGTCGTCCTTGTTTACACGCTATTCCGTCGTGTGTGATATGATTGTGTGAAACGTTATTCTGGATTTTGCCGTCGTACTTTAAATCGGTTTATGTAGGTATTCATTGTCATGGCCTAGCTTTTAGTTGAATTTGAGTTATCTTAGTACGACGAAAAAGAGGAAGTAACAACGTGAGTTATGTGTTCTAAACACTGTTGCTATGGCAGATTATATTAAGTGCAATAAGTGAAGGAATCTTTGATTGCAATATAAGCGTTTACGAATTTTGCAGCTTTCTGAAGGTCGGTCTTGAGCTTTCCTATTATTCCGTCACAGAACCGTCCCTGTGAAATAAATTATTTGTGAAAGCGTGTTTTCATTTTCACTGGTGTTGAAATATTTTTTATACCGCTTTTTTAAAGGGCGCGCACCCTTGCAAAATCATATATTAATTAAAGAAATTTGGTTTAAGCTGGAAAAAACAGTAGAGGGACGTGCTTACACCCCTAAAATTATGATAATCGTTTACACATTCTTCTTAATGGAAGAAGATCCTCTTTCTTTAGAATAAAAAAAGGTTGGTTAGTACAAGTTTTTAGCAACCAAAAGTTAGTCAGAGATGCTGAAAACAACCCCCCATTTGCATATTGAACTTGACAATCATTAAATTTCATACAGGCAGCATTGACAAATGCTCAATTCTCATTCGAAAAATGGAATTGAAAACTTTTAATGTTAATATGTAATATCTATCTAATTTGTTAATTGATAATTCATAAAAATGTTTTGGTTAGTTTTGCATCGACATTTAGCAATATTAGTAACATTATTATTAATCTTTGCTAAAGAAAATCTTATCATGTGCTCATGGAAGCGTTAATCTAGTTTTTGCTTTATTTATCATTAATTACGAATTAAAAACATGAAAGAATAGCACATTAATAAAAAGTCGTATTTCAAGAAAGTAAGTAAACCAAAACTAATCAAAACTGGTTACAAAAAAAACGACGAATCTTAGAAATTACAATTGAAAATAATCTTAAAATCAAGAAAGACTTAAATGTTGATTATCAAATGTTCAATATAAATTTTTTTCATTTGGAAACATATCCCATCATGGTCTATAAATTAAATATCTATTGTAATATCTCTGCAGCCAACAAAATGTTTAACACAAAAAAATTGGTAGAACCAGTTTCAAGTTGAGTCCAAAATGATTATGTCGAGGTGTTTTAGCTCGAATTCGATGCTAACAAAAATCTACATTTATACTATTCTAGTTGTTACATAGAAAAGACGTGTATGAGACTACTTGGGATCATCAGAAAGTGGTTTTATTTATAGACTATTTTATCACAGAGCAAGCGGAAATGAATGACATTTTAATGAGATAGTAATTAAAACGTACTTAAGAATAGCGCTTTTATATCTATATTCGTTTAGTTTGACGCATCAGTATATAAAGTGGCAATATTCACATCAACGAAAAGATGTTCCATTATCTATCATAGCTGTTTTTAAAGGAGCCTTTACTAAAAACCCAAGTCTCATCAATAAATATGGCGGTATACGTATCTTCTCCTTAATTTTCATTTTTTAATATATTCCCGCACGAAATTGTGAACGATATGAGACAATTCAATCAGGTATTTGCTATTATTTGATTTATTTCACTGACGGACAAATTAAATTATTGTAACATGTTCATTTTTCTATTACATGCAGTAGATATCCTTTGGTTTTAAGAAATTCTGGAGGTAAAGGATTTATAGTTCGTTATTTCTGATTATAGTTCAGTTTATAAAGCTTATAGAGAGTCTCAACAAATCAATGTCAATTTTGACGAATATCATATGAAACACACATAACCAAAACCGGAATTGACTGTTATAAAGAAACGACAATGATTTTTTTGCTTACTACAGTATTAAGCAGTTTTTTATGTAATCCAAGACCCAAATGTGGAACATTTTGAGGTTAATGATTAAAAAATGGTGACTAGCCAGCAAATGTGGCGGGAACGTAGCGGCGGCGTGGTCACAACTACTTGTTTGTTTTTTTACATGATTCGCTATGTTTTTGTCAAAATGAGTTGAAATAATTGAATAAAGCATCCTTCGTCGTTCACCGGCTGCCCAGCCATGTCAATAACGATTCGAAGTGGTTGGTTTAAATCTATGATTGGTGTAGAAAATTATACAAAAGTTGCTTAAAGTAAGATGATCTTTAATTTTTTTGTATTATTTCAATTACATACAGGGTCAAATAAAATTATTTTGTTAAAAATTAACCACATGCATTCCCTAAAATGTGGAAAATTTAATACGAAATTATTGAAATTATCTATTGTCTGAGACAAAGTATCATTCTATATATTTTAATATGTCACGCAGAAAAATGTTTTAAATGTTAATACGTAACCTAACAAAAAGCTTTCCAACATAATCTGAATACGGAAGATATTCGCTAATAACAGTGTAATCGAGATCGATATATAGATATTTATATATATGTCCTTAATATCTTTTAAAAAGGTATTTAAAAATGCACTAAAATGTAACTTTATTTGACCACCTTGTATGTAATCACTGCATTACAATTTAAATAATACAAAAAAAATAAAGATCATTTTTCTGTTCAAACTTTTTTATAAAACTCATAGATTTAGAGATAAGGTATAGGCAGCTCTCAAACCGGCCACCCCGTATATGTATGCCGCTCTACAACCGATCTGATCGATTAAAAGAAGCGCCCTAAAAAAAAAGAATACTGAAAAAAATATTGAAAAATTACCTAAAATTACAAAAAAAATCAAATAAGTTGCATAAGTACAGTTTCCTTCAGGTTTTTTTTAGATTCCGTGTATCATTATATAAGATAATATGTCCTAACTTGCAGTTATTGTTATTAATCGAAACTGGTAGTACAGTTACTTTCAAGTTCCGCACGCCATTTGGTATTCTAAAACATTATTTGTGAAAGTGATTATCAGCGTTGTTTGGAGTGTAGTGCCTAGCAAAATGACGTCAAAGTTACTTTGACGTATTTTTTAGTAGTATAAGAACTTTTGTGGTGATTTTAAATCGGAAAGGGGAGTAAAACTTACCTTGTAAAAGGTTTCACGGGTAGTTGCGTTACTTAGAAGAGTTTTTTAAAGTGGCGAGGATGAAAATATTACGTTACGTTAAAGTACGCGAGAGTAATTTTTCATAGTAACAAGTTTAAACTACTTTGGAAAGTAATTTGGAGTACCGAATCGATAAAGTTTTCATTTATACATCTTCTACATTCTTCCTGCTTCGGTTGTTTATAAATAAAACTTACTGACGTTTCGCCAATCATCTGGTTGACTTCTTCAGGAACTGAAACTGGCTTGCATTTTATTCTGTACTTGCTTATATATTGTTTGAGTGGTGCGGAGCTAAAGGAGGGGCATCAACATTGTTTCGGATGATTGATTCAAATTTTGGTGCGAAATGTTATTAAATAAAATCAAATAATTTATTGCTAAACATGTATGAAAAGTATATTTAAAATTGTCAGTATGAATTTTCGAAGTAATCACACAATATATGTATCAAACATTTTACGTACACACAAACAATCTAAAATTCAGAGGTCATGTAGCTCTTAAAGTTCCATTAAATAAAATCCTTTATAGCATGAATTGTTCTGTTAAATTCACTCGGGCAACAGTTGTTTTTGAGAGTTACTGGTATTTTGTTATACAGATTAATACCAATGAAGTTAATGGACGGTTGAGTTTTGTTTACACGATGATAGGGAACACACAGATCATTTTTATGTCTGGTATCATACATGTGAAAGTTGGAATTCATTATTTTTTTATTTTCATATGCATACATTATGCACTGATAGATGAAAGTCGAAGGGAGAGTTAGCATTTTTTAAAATTTTGTTGTGCAAAAAGTTCGAACAATCCTTTTTGAATTTTAAAGATTCTCTCGAATCTGCCTCTGAAGAGTCTCCCCACAACAATATGCTACATGATTTCATGTTAATGAAACAACAAACTTACGTTTGTAACAACTACTGCACCACGACTTTATATAGAACACTGGACACAGAAACTCAGTTTATATCATCTGCCGATTATGCCAACTTGGTTGGTGAAAAACGTGTCCAGTGTTCCAAATAAAGTTGTGGTGCAGTAGTGGTTATAAACGTAAGTTTGTTGATCTTCCACCGCAGGTTCCAGTCTCCCCGAGCACGTTAATGAAGTTACAAAAATAAAACGTTAAAGCCGTCTCAAAAGTTGTAAGTTGAATAGGTTTTCGAATCTGAAATGTAACTTTGTTTAGTCTCCCGGCCAGCATATCTACCAATTAAGTCCATGTACACACCCAGAAGTTTAGCGTTGTGAGAGCTAACGTCAGATGCGTCGAAAAAAAAGACAACCTCTGACTTATTTTAATTCAATTTAAACCGCGGTTAAGATTCTTTGGTTGCTTATAGATTTCTATAGATTTCCAGATTTTTCGTTGGTAAAATTGATTACATGCCCGGTTTCGTGATTGTGTTCTACAACTGCTGATAAGTTTAATGTAAACTTAAATCTCTTTCATGTTCTTCGAGCATAGTTCATATTTTTCTTCTGTCTCGAGAAGGTATTCTTTGCCGCATATGCATGGAATGCTGTAAACTCCTGGATCGAAGATGTTGAGAGATTTTTGGACAAGTTGTAAATCTGGTTTTGCTCCTAATGAGCTTAACCGCTCGCATTCTACTCTGTACCTGCTTATATATTGTTTGAGGGATGCGAAGCTAAAGGAGGGACATGAACATTGTCTCGGATTTCTGACTCCCATATTGGTGAAAGATAAAGGTCGTGGTTAAGATTGGTCGGTTATATATATTTCTATAGATTCTCGGATTTTTTGTTGGAGAATGCATCGACGAATTTTTGTTTTATCGAATTAGATTTGGTGTGATTTTCATCCTGTCTCTCTAATGTATGCTGTAAATTCCTGGTATCTCAAGTGGAATCTTGTCTTTGACGGATCAAAGATGTTGAGAGATTTTTGAAAAAATTGAAAATCTGGTTTTGACGTTATATTTATTACGAATTGTTTATGACTCTTCTATAGCTCTA